TCTCCCGATTGTTACCATCCTTTTTATCGGCAGTCAACTCTTCTGCCAATTCCCATCCTCGGACTATTCGCGATACTTATATTCTCATAAGTACGATAGAACTAGGGGTTAGGGCGAAAAAAGGAGCATCTAAAGCGAGGGCATATGGACATCAATCTACTTTAGCTCAGGGGCAAGCGCGTAGCTCTAAACTTCAAGGTTAGGATTTCGTTGCGCAAAACTGCATGTTTGGAACTAGTCTATCGTTCCCATATTTGTTTGCCATTACTCATCACGTTGATAAGCGCATTAACCACGGACATAGTCAGCTTCCCACTATCGCCACTTTGCATCACCAGTTGCATTTAAAGACCGACACGCCAGTTCGACCATCCGTTTCGACGATGTCCACCGTGTGCTATACAGCAAGGTGCAGCAGGCATGGTAACTAGCCCGCGAAGTAGTTCATAGTGATGGTAGACTTGCGCTGCATCCACCGCACTCTCTCTTTCACACTCCCCACCTGAACCCGGTGTCGAGACAAAGTAAAGAAGACCAGAGGCGGGGAGGGCGCAGGTGGATGGCACGCCCGAGCCACCACCTTGGCGTTTCACTCCCCACTCCCTGTTCCACACAGTAAATAGCCAGGTTTTTGACCAGCAGCAGCAGCGGCAGCAGCAGCAGCAGCAACAACAACAACAATAACAACCACATCTCAACAGGGGTCAGAAGGACGATGATGACTCGGCAGCCATGCCCACCACCTAGATACCCATCGGGAGTGCACGCGCATCTACCATCAGGGAACTGTGAGCACATAGGAGGCTGCGAAGGCCATGATTTGTTAATACTAACATAGCACACGCTTTCAGACCTTTTGACCTAGAAGGGCGAAACGCGGTCCTGCATCCAGCTGGGCCCTCATTCTTCAGGACTTGGCAACCAAACAGTCGTCGACTGACAGGCACTACCCATAAAGTACACACACAAACACAAACACTCTCTTCGCATGCATGAGGTTGTCATAGATCGTTTAAGAAGAGGCCGTGACAGCTTGGCTCTCAGCCCACCAGTCTGCCACTCCACACAACACACACAACTGGGCAGACTGCATGGACTGAGTTTGGGCGTCAGTCGGCTGTCTTCCGAGCCACGGCGCTCGACGCACCGTCTTCGTCTCAGACTCGGGTTAGGCATGCAGCAGAGGAGCCGCATGGAGAAGGAGCCGAGAATCACACTTTCCACTTGCGTGGGAAGTGGCAGTTGGATGTTTGTGATGGGTAATGGTGTTGTGAGGTGCGGGTGCTGGTGGGTGAAATTCTGATGGTTTGGTGTAGCCGACAGTTGTCTACCGCAGGTTTTCATGGACGCGCATGTAGCCTGATAGACCCATGCGGTGAATAAATGTGCGAGCGCAGTGCAAACAGTGGAGGCGGAGACGGCGAGTGTGGGTTGGTGCTTCAGGCACTGGTTCGCCAGTCTTTATGCGATGAATTCGCGAGTGACCGATCAGGCTGGTGCATGGGGTGAATGTAGGGGGACAGTG